TCCCAAATTTTTTCAGGATTTTCCATCAAATTTCAGGAAATTTCAATTTTTTAGATTTTTCCTTCATTTTTTGGGGCGATTTTCCTTAAATTCTGAAGAATTCCCATTAAAATTCCAGGCATTTTCTCTCAATTTGGGGATTTTTATAAATCTTCAATTTTCCCATTATTTTTTAAGGAATTTCCCTAAAAATTCCAGGATTTTTTTTGGAATTTTCCCATAAATTTTTTAGGCTTTTCTACAAATCCAAACAATTTTAAATTCATTTTTTTATTTTATTTTTTCCATTTATTTTGGGGGATTTTTTCTGCCATTTTGGGGTTTTTTTCCTTCAGGAATGGATCCCAATAAATTTTGGGGTTTCCCATAAAATTTTAGGGTTTTTTTTATCATTTTTGGGGTTTTTTATTTTTATTTTTTTGGGGTTTTTTGTCCATTTTTGGGATGATTTTTCTGCCATCTTTGGGATTTCCTTTGGGATTTTGGGGATTTTGGGGTGGAATTTGGGGTCTGGGGGGGTTTGGGGTCATTTTTGGGGGGATTTGGGGTCCCAGGGCTCCGTCCTGGGGAGGTTTTGGGGTCCTGGGGAGGTTTTGGGGTCACTTTTGGGGTTCTGGGGTCATTTTTAGGGTCATTTTTGGGGTCATTTTTGGGGTGCTGGGGTCACTTTTGGGGCCACTTTTGGGGTCCTGGCGTCATTTTTGGGGTCACTTTTGGGGTCATTTTTGGGGTGCTGGGGTCACTTTTGGGGCCACTTTTGGGGTCCTGGCGTCATTTTTGGGGTCACTTTTGGGGTCATGTTTGGGGGCACTTTTGGGGTCCTGGGGTCACTTTTGGGGTCACTTTTGGGGCCATTTCTGGGGTCCCTTGGGGGTCACTTTCAGGGTCACTTTTGGGGTCCCTTTGGGGTCACTTTTGGGGTCATTTTTGGGGGTGCTGGGGTCACATTTGGGGTCACTTTTGGGGTCAGTGTTGGGGTCACTCCTGTGGTCACTTTTGGGGTCCTGGGGTCCCTCCTGGAGACATTTTTGGGGTCCTGGGGAGGTTTTGGGGTCCTGGGGTCACTCTTGGGGTCACTTTTGGGGTGCTGGGGTCGCTTTAGGGGTCACTTTTGGGGTCCCGGGGCCACTTTTGGGGTAATTCCAGTGGTCATTTTTTGGGGTCACTTTTGGGGTGCTGGGGTCCCTCCTGGAGCCATTTTTGGGGTCAGTTTTGGGGTCCTGGGGGTTACTTTTGGGGTCCCTTTGGGGTCACTTCTGGGGTCATTTTTGGGGTCCCTTTGGGGTCACTCTTGGGGTCACATTTGGGGTCCTGGAGCCATTTTTGGGGTCCCCTTTGGGCTCAGTTTTGGGGTCCCTTTTGGAGTCCCTTTGGGCTCAGTTTTGGGGTCCTGGAGCCATTTTTGGGGTCCCTTTGGGCTCAGTGTTGGGGTCACTCTTGGGGTCATTTTTGGGGTCCTGGGGTCCCTTTGGGGTCACTTTTGGGGCCATTCCTGGGTCACTTTTGGGGGTCCCTTTGGGCTCAGTTTTGGGGGTCAGGGTTGGGGTCACATTTGGGGGTCCTGGAGCCATTTTTGGGGTCCCTTTGGGCTCAGTTTTTGGGGTCACTTATGGAGCCATTTTTGGGGTCATTTTTGGGGTCATTTTTGGGGTCCTGGAGCCATTTTTGGGGTCCCTTTGGGGTCACTTTTTGGGGTCACTCCTGGAGCCATTTCTGGGGTCATTTTTGGGGTCCTGGAGCCATTTTTGGGGGTCACTCTTGGGGTCCTGGAGCCATTTTTGGGGTCCTTTTGGGGTCACTTTTGGGGTCACTTTTGGGGTCACTCCTGGGAGCCATTTTTGGGGTCCCTTTTGGGGTCCCTTTAGGGTCAGTTTTGGGGTCATTTTTGGGGTCCTGGAGCCATTTTTGGGGTCACATTTGGGGTCCCTTTGGGCTCAGTGTCGGGGTCACATTTGGGGTCCTGGAGCCATTTTTGGGGTCCCTTTGGGCTCAGTTTTGGGATCCTGGAGCCATTTTTGGGGTCCCTTTGGGGTCACTTTTGGGGTCATTTTTGGGCTCAGTGTTGGGGTCACTTTTGGGGTCCTGGAGCCATTTTTGGGGTCAATGTTGGGGTCACTCCTGGAGCCATTTTTGGGGTCCCTTTTGGGGTCCTTCTGGGGTCCTTTTGGGGTCAGTTTTGGGGTCCTGGAGCCATTTTTGGGGTCTCTTTGGGCTCAGTGTTGGGGTCACTTTTGGGGTCCCTTTGGGGTCACTTTAGGGGTCCCTTTTGGGTTCAGTTTTGGGGTCACTTTTGGGGTCACTCCTGTGGTCACTTTTGGGGTCCTGGGGTCACTCCTGGAGCCATTTTTGGGGTCATTTTTGGGGTCAGGGTTGGGGTCACATTTTGGGTCCTGGAGCCATTTTTGGGGTCATTTTTGGGGTCCCTTTGGGGTCACTTTTGGGGCCATTCCTGGGTCCCTTTGGGCTCAGTTTTGGGGTCACTCCTGGGGTCACATTTGGGGTCCTGGAGCCATTTTTGGGGTCCCTTTGGGGTCACTCTTGGGGTCACATTTGGTGTCCTGGGGTCCCTTTTGGGCTCAGTGTTGGGGTCACTTTTGGGGTCCCTTTGGGGTCGCTTTTGGGGTCAGTTTTGGGGTCCTGGAGCCATTTTTGGGGTCCCTTTTGGGGTCACTCTTGGGGTCATTTTTGGGGTCCTGGAGCCATTTTTGGGGTCCCTTTGGGCTCAGTTTTGGGGTCAGGGTTGGGGTCACATTTGGGGTCACTCTTGGGGTCGGTGTTGGGGTCACATTTTGGGTCCTGGAGCCATTTTTGGGGTCACTTTTGGGGCCATTTTTGGGGTCCTGGAGCCATTTTTGGGGTCCCTTTGGGGTCAGGGTTGGGGTCACTCCTGGAGCCATTTTTGGGGTCCCTTTTGGGCTCAGTTTTGGGGTCACATTTGGGGTCCTGGGGTCACTTTTGGGGTCCCTTTGGGCTCAGTTTTGGGGTCACTTTTGGGGTCCCTTTGGGGTCGCTTTTGGGGTCACTTTTGGGGTCCCGGAGCCATTTTTTGGGGTCCCTTTTGGGCTCAGTGTTGGGGTCCCTCCTGGAGCCATTTTTGGGGTCCCTTTTGGGCTCAGTGTTGGGGTCACTTTTGGGGTCCCTTTGGGGTCACTTTTGGGGTCCCTTTTGGGGTCACTTTTGGGGTCACTTTTGGGGTCCTGGGTTCAGTTTTGGGGTCACTTTTGGGGTCACTCCTGTGGTCACTTTTGGGGTCCTGGGGTCACTCCTGGAGCCATTTTTGGGGTCATTTTTGGGGTCAGGGTTGGGGTCACATTTTGGGTCCTGGAGCCATTTTTGGGGTCACATTTGGGGTCCCTTTGGGCTCAGTGTCGGGGTCACTTTTGGGGTCCTGGGGTCCCTTTGGGCTCAGTTTTGGGGGTCCCTCCTGGAGCCACTTTTGGGGTCACTTTTGGAGTCACATTTGGGGTCCTGGAGCCATTTTTGGGGTCATTTTTGGGGTCCTGGAGCCATTTTTTGGGGTCCCCTTTGGGCTCAGTGTTGGGGTCACTTTTGGGGTCATTTTTGGGGTCACTTTTGGGGTCACATTTGGGGTCCTGGAGCCATTTTTGGGGTCCTGGAGCCATTTTTGGGGTCACTTTTGGGGTCACTTTTGGGGGTCACTTTTGGGGTCACTCCGTCCAGCGGTGCCCGCAGTGCGGGGGCCGTGCACACGTAGTACAACCTCATGGCATCCTGGGGGATTTTGGGGGAAATTTGGGCCATTTTGGGAAATCGTTGGAAAATTTCCCCTAAAAAAGCTCCTGGGATTTTTCCCCCCAAAATCCCCTTCAAAATCCACCCAAAAAACCCCAAAATCCTCCCAAAAATCCCCCCAAAAAATCCCAAAACCCCCCAGGATCTTCCCCCCCAAAAAAACCCCAAGACCCCTCCCCAAAAAATCCCCAAAATTCCCAAAGACTCCTCCCAAAATCCCCTGGGACCCCTCCCTAAAAAACCCCAAAATCCTCCCTAAAAACCCCAAAATCTCCCCACCAAAAACCCCAAATCCCCCCAGATCCTCCCTAAAAAGGACCCCAAAAAACCCCAAAATTTCCCCAAAAAATCCCCAAAATCCCTGGGACTCCTCCCCAAAAATCCCCAAAATCCCCTGGGATCCCTCCCCAAAAAAACCCCAAAACCTCCCCCAAAAAGAACCCAAAATTCCCTGGGACCCCTCCCCAAAAAGAACCCAAAATTCCCTGGGACCTCCCCCCAAAAAATCCCCAAAATTCCCCCCCAAAAATCCCCAAAATCTCCCCCCCAAAAACCCCAAATCCCCCCAGATCATCCCTAAAAACAACCCCAAAAAACCCCAAAATTCCCTCCCTAAAAACCCCAAAATCTCCCCCCAAAAACCACAAAAATCCCCCCTAAAAACCCCCCAAGATTCTCTCCAAAAAACCCCAAAATCCCCTGGGACCCCTCCCTAAAAAACCCCAAAACATCCCCCAAAAAACCCCAAAACTCCCCCCAGATCCTCCCTAAAAACAACCCCAAAAAACCCCAAAATTTCCCCAAAAAATCCCCAAAATCCCTGGGATCCCTCCCTAAAAAAAACCCAAAATCTCCCCCCAAAATCCCCTGGGATCCCTCCCCAAAAATCCCAAAACCTCCCCCAAGAAACCCCAAAATCCCCTGGGACCTCACCCCAAAAAACCCCAAAATTCCCTGGAACTGCCCCAAAAACCCCAAAATTCCCTGGGACCCCTTCCCCAAAACCCCAAAACCTCCCCCAAAAAACCCCAAAATCCTCTGAGACCTCCCCCCAAAAACCCCAAAATCCCCTGGGATCCCTCCCCAAAAAACCCCAAAACCCCCCAGGATCCTCCCCCCCAAAAAAACCCCAAGACCCCTCCCCAAAACCCCAAAAACCTCCCCCAAAAAAAACCCAAAATCCCCTGGGACCCCTCCCCCAAAAAACCCCAAAACCTCCCCCAAAAAGCCCCAAAATCCCCTGGGACCCCTCCCCAAAAATCCCAAAACCTCCCCCAAAAACCCCCAAAATCCCCTGGGACCCTTCCCCTAAAAACCCCAAAATCCCCTGGGACCTCCCCCCAAAAAACCCCAAAACCTCCCCCCAAAATACCCCAAAACTCCCCCTGGGACTCCTCCCTAAAAAACCCCAAAACCTCCCCAAAAAACCCCAAACCTCCCAAAAAAATCCCCCTTGGAACCTCCCTAAAAAATCCCAAAATTCCCCAAAAAAACCCCAAAACCTCCCCCCAAAAAACCCCAAAATTCCCTGGGATCCCTCCCCAAAAAACCCCAAAAAACCCCAAAATCCCCTGGGACCTCTCCCAAAAACCCCAAAATCCCTTGGGATCCCTCCCCAAAAAACCCCAAAAAACCCAAAATCCCCTGGGACTCCTCCCCAAAAAACCCCAAAACCCCCCAGATCCTCCCTAAAAATGACCCCAAAAAACCCCAAAACCTCCCCCAAAAACCCCAAAATCCTCTGGGACCTCTCCCAAAAACCCCAAAAATTCCCCCCCAAAAATCCCCAAAATCTCCCCCCAAAAACCCCAAAATCTCCCCCCAAAAAACCCCAAAACCTCCCCCAAAAACCCCAAAATCCCCTGGGACTGCCCCAAAAAACCCCAAAACTCCCCCCAGATCCTCCCTAAAAATGACCCCAAAAAACCCCAAAAACCTCCCCCAAAAAAACCCCAAAAATTCCCTGGGACCCCTCCCCAAAAACCCCAAAAATCCCCAAATCCCCCAAGGACCTGAGAAATTTTGGGGATTTTGGGGTTTTTTTGGGGAGGATTTTGGGGTTTTTAGGAAGGATTTTGGGGTTTTTTAGGGTTTTTTTAGGGAAAATTTTGGGGTTTTTTGGGAGGATTTTGGGGTTTTTTAGGGGAGGATTTTGGGATTTTTTTAGGGGGGTTTTTTGGGAGAGGATTTTGGGGTTTTTTAGGGTTTTTTTAGGGAGAATTTTTGGGGTTTTTTGGGAGGATTTGGGGATTTTTTAGGGGAGGATTTTGGGGTTTTTTGGGTTTTTTTTGGGAGAGGATTTTTGGGTTTTTAGGGGAGGATTTTGGGGTTTTTTGGGGAAGAATTTTGGGGTTTTTTGGGGAGAATTTTGGGGGTTTTTTTAGGGAGGATTTTGGGGTTTTTTGGGAGAGGATTTTGGGGTTTTTTGGGGAAGAATTTTGGGGTTTTTTGGGGAAGAATTTTGGGGTTTTTTGGGAGATAATTTTGGGGTTTTTTTTAGGAGAATTTTGGGGTGTTTTAGGGACGATTTTGGGGTTTTTTTAGGGGAGATTTTGGGGTTTTTTAAGGAAGGATTTTGGGGTTTTTTGGGAGAGGATTTTGGGGTTTTTAGGGGAGAATTTTGGGGTTTTTTAGGGAGGATTTAGGGAGGATTTTGGGGTTGTTTTAGGGAGGATTTTGGGGTTTTTTGGGAGAGCATTTTGGGGTTTTTAGGGAGGATTTGGGGGAGGATTTTGGGGTTTTTTAGGGAGGATTTTGGGTTTTTTTTGGGGAGGATTTTGGGGTTTTTTAGGGAAGGTTTTGGGGTTGTTTTGGGGAGGATTTTGGGGTTTTTTAGGGTTTTTTTAGGGAGGCTTTTGGGAGAGGATTTTGGGGATTTTTTGGGTTTTTTAGGGAAGATTTTGGGGTTTTTTTGGGAGCATTTTGGGGGTTTTGGGGAGAGGGTTTTGGGGTTTTTTGGCAGGATTTTGGGGGTTTTGGGAGAGAATTTTGGGGTTTTTTTTTTAGGGAAGATTTTGGGGTTTTTAGGGAGGATTTTGGGCTTTTTTAGGGGGTTTTTAGGAAGGATTTTGGGTTTTTTAGGGAGTTTTTTAAGGGAGGATTTTGGGGTTTGTTTTGGTGTTTTTTTAGGGAGGATTTTGGGGTTGTTTTTGGGGAGATTTTTGGGGTTGTTTTTGGGGTTTGTTTTGGGGTTTTTAGGGAGAATTTTGGGGAGATTTTTGGGGTTTATTTTGGGGTTTTTTTGGGAGAGGATTTGGTGGTTTTTGGGGAGGATTTTGGGGTTTTTTAGGGCGGATTTTGGGGGTTTGTTTTGGGGTTGTTTTGGGTTTTTTTAGGGAGAATTTTGGGTTTTTTAGGGAGGATTTTGAGGTTTATTTTGGGGAGTTTTTTAGGGAGGATTTTGAGGTTTATTTTGGGGTTGTTTTTGGGGTTTTAGGGATGATTTTGGGGTTTTTTGGGAGAGGATTTTGGGGTTTGTTTTGGGGTTTTTTAAGGATGATTTTGGGGATTTTTGGGAGGATTTTGGGGGTTTTTTAGGGGTTTTTTTAGGGAGGATTTTGGGGTTTGTTTTGGGGTTGTTTTGGGGTTTTTTTAGGGAGGATTTTGGGTTTTTTTGGGGAGGATTTTGGGGTTGTTTTGGGGCTGTTTTGGGGTTTGTTTTGGGGTTTTTTTTGGGTTGTTTTGGGGAGATTTTGGGGGTTTTTTAGGGAGGATTTTGGGGTTGTTTTAGGGAGGATTTTGGGGTTTTTTAGGGGCTTTTTAAGGAGAATTTTGGGGGGGTTTTTTTTAGGGAGAATTTTTGGATTTTTTCGGGGTTTTTTAGGGTGGATTTTGGGATTTTTTAGGAAGGATTTTGGGGTTTTTTGGGAGAGGATTTTGGGAGGATTTTGGGGGGTTTTTGGGAAAGGGTTTTGGTGTTTTTAGGGAGGATTTTGGGGGTTGTTTTGGGGTTTTTTAGGGAAGATTTTGGGAGGATTTTGGGGTTTTTTTGGGGGGTCTTTTAGGGAAGATTTTGGGGTTTTTTGGGGTTTTTTTAGGGAGGATTTTGGGGTTTGTTTGGGGTTTTTTAGGGTTGTTTTGAGGGGAAGGATTTTGGGGTTTTTTAGGGGAGATTTTTGGGGTTTTTTAGGGATGATTTTGAGGTTCTTTGGGAGAGGATTTTGGGCTTTTTAAGGAAGATTTTGGGGTTGTTTTGGGGTTTGTTTTGGGGTTTGTAGGGAGAATTTTGGGGGTTGTTTTGGGGAGAATTTTTGGATTTTTTAGGGGGGTTTTTTTGGGAGGATTTTGGGGTTTTTTGGGGGAGGATTTTGTGGATTTTTGGAGAGGATTTTGGGAGGATTTTGGGGTTATTTTGGGGTTTATTTTGGGGTTATTTTGGGGTTGTTTTTGGGGTTTTTTAGGGCAGATTTTGGGGTTATTTTGGGGTTATTTTTGGGGTTATTTTGGGGGTTTATTTTGGGTTTTTCCCTCACCTCAGCACGGGCGCTGTGGGACTGGAAGAACACGGCCTCCTTGTGCCCACACCTGTACAGGGACAGCGAGCACGGCCCTGAGCTCCTCGTGTCCCCAAATGTCCCCAAATGTCCCCAAATGGCCCCAAATGGCCCCAAGGTGGCCCCAAATGTGTCCCCAAATGTGTCCCCAAAATGTGTCCAAATGTTGGCCCCAAATGTGTCCCCAAGGTGGCCCCAAATGGCCCCAAATGTGTCCAAATGTGGCCCCAAATGGCCCCAAATGTGTCCCCAAATGTGTCCCCAAAGTGGCCCCAAATGGCCCCAAATGTCCCCAAATGTGTCCAAATGTGTCCAAAGTGGCCCCAAATGTGTCCAAAGTGGCCCCAAATGGCCCCAAATGTGTCCCCAAATGTGTCCCCAAAGTGTCCCCAAATGGCCCCAAATGTGTCCAAGGTGTCCCCAAGGTGTCCCCAAAGTGTCCCCAAATGTGTCCCCAAAGTGTCCCCAAATGTGTCCAAAGTGGCCCCAAGGTGTCCCCAAATGTGTCCCCAAATGTGTCCAAAGTGGCCCCAAATGTGTCCAAAGTGGCCCCAAATGTGTCCAAAGTGTCCCCAAATGTGTCCAAATGTGTCCAAAGTGTCCCCAAATGTGTCCAAATGGCCCCAAATGTGTCCCCAAGTGGCCCCAAATGTGTCCCCAAATGGCCCAAAATGTGTCCCCAAATGGCCCCAAATGTGTCCAAATGTGTCCCCAAAGTGTCCCCAAATGTCCCCAAGGTGTCCCCAAATGTCCCCAAAGTGTCCCCAAATGGCCCCAAATGGCTCCAAATGTGTCCAAACGTGTCCAAAGTGACCCCAAGGTGGCCCCAAATGTGTCCAAATGTGTCCCCAAATGTGTCCAAATGTGTCCCCAAATGTGTCCAAAGTGTCCCCAAATGTGTCCCCAAATGGCCCCAAATGTGTCCAAAGTGTCCCCAAATGTGTCCAAAGTGTCCCCAAATGTGTCCCCAAAGTGGCCCCCAAATGTCCTGAAATGTGCCCAAATGGCCCCAAATGTGTCCCCAAATGTGTCCAAATGGCCCCAAAGTGTCCCCAAGGTGGCCCCAAAGTGTCCCCAAGGTGGCCCCAAATGTGTCCAAGGTGGCCCCAAATGGCCCCAAGGTGTCCCCAAATGGCCCCAAATGTGTCCCCAAATGGCCCCAGGGTGGCACCAAGGTGTCCCCAAATGGCCCCAAATGTGTCCCCAAATGTGTCCAAGTGTCCCCAAATGTGTCCAAGTGTCCCCAGGGTGGCCCCAAATGTGTCCCCAGGGTGGCCCCAAATGTGTCCCCCAAATGGCCCCAAATGTGTCCAAATGTCTCCAAAGTGTCCCCAAATTGCCCCCAAGGTGTCCCCAAATGTCCCCAAATGTCCCCAAGATGTCCCCAAATGTCTCCAGTGTCCCCAAATTGTCCCCAAATGTCCCCAAGGGTCTCCAAAGTGTCCCCACGTGTCCCCAGATGTCCCCCAGGTGTCCCCAAGGGTCTCTGATGTCCCCCAAATGTCCCCAAGGTGTCCCCAAGATGTCCCCAAATGTCTCCAAAGTGTCCCCAAGATGTCCCCAGGTGTTCCCCAATGTTCCCCAGGTGTCCCCCAGGGGTCTCTGATGACTCCCAGGTGTCCCCAATTGGTCCCCAAATGTGTCCAAACGGCCCCAAATGTCCCCCAGGTGTCCCCGAGATGTCCCCATTTGGTCCCCAAATGTCCCCAAAGTGTCCCCAAAGTGTCCCCAAGTGTCCCCAAGGGTCCCCACAGGTGTCCCCAAGGGTCTCTGATGTCCCCAAGTGTCCCCAAGGTGTCCCCAAGGTGTCCCCAGGTGTCCCCAAGGGTCTCTGATGTCCCCAAATTGTCCCCAAATGTCTCAAAATTGTCCCCAAATGTCCCCAGGTGTCCCCAAATGTCCCCAAATTGTCCCCCAAATGTCCCCAAATTGTCCCCAGGTGTCCCCAGGCCTCACTTCTGGCACGGGTGATCCTCGGTGCGGGGCAGGGTCGGATCCTGGGACACGTCAGCGATGATCTGGGTCAGCTCGCTGCCAAAAGCACCAAAATTCACCCCAAATTTACCCAAAATTCATCCAAAATTTACCCCAAAATTCACCCCAAAATTTCATCCAAAATTTACCCCCAAAATCCACCCAGAATTCCCCCAAAAAAATCCCAAAAAGTCTGCCAAAAATTCCCAAAAAATCCACCAAAAATTCCCAAAAAATCCCCCCAAAATTCCCCGAAAATTTCCCAAAAAATCCACCAAAAATTCCCCCAAAAAATTCCCCAAACAATTCCCAAAAATCCACCCAGAATTCCCTAAAAATTCCCAAAAAATCCACCCAAAATTCCCAAAAAATCCACCAAAAATTCACCCAGAATTCCGAAAAAAATCCACCGAAAATTCCCCCAAAAAATCCCAAAAAATCTGCCAAAAAATCCCCCAAAAATTCCCAAAAAATCCACCCAAACTCCTCAAAAATTCACCCAAAATTCCCCCAAAAATCCACCCAGAATCCCCCAGAAATGCCCAAAATTCCCCCAAAAATTCACACAGAATTCCTTAAAAAATCCACTCAGAATTTCCCCAAAACTCCACCCAAAATTCCTCAAAAATCCACCAAAAAGTTCCCAAACAATTCCCAAAAATTCACCCAGAATTCCCCCCAAAAATTCCCCCAAAGTTTCCTAAAAACCCACGCAAAATTCCCCCAAAAATTCCTAAAAATCCACCCAGAATTCTCCCAAAAGTTCCTAAAAATCCACACAAAATTCCCCCAAAATTCCCAAAAAATCCCCCAAAAATTCCCAAAAAATCCACCCAAAATTCCCCCCAAAAATTCCTAAAAATGCACCCAAAATTCCCCCAAAAAATTCCCAAAAAATCCACCCAAAATTCCCCCCCAAAAATTCCTAAAAATGCACCCAAAATTCCCCCAAAAATTCCCAAAAAATCCACCCAAAATTCCCAAAAAATCCACCCAAAATTCCCCCAAAAATTCCCAAAAAATCCCCCCAAAATTCCCCAAAAAATTCACCCAAAATCCCCAAAAAATCCACCCAAAAATTCCCCAAAATTTTTAGGGAATTTTTAGGGAATTCTGAGTGGATTTTTGGGGGATATTTAGAAACTATTTTGGGAATATTTTGGGGATATTTTTGGGAGATTTTGGAGATATTTTAAGGATATTTTAGGGATATTTTTGGGGATATTTTGAGGATTTTTTGGGGATATTTTGGGAATATTTTGAGGATATTTTGAGGGTATTTTAGGAATATTTTAGGAACATTTTAGGGATATTTTAGGGATATTTTAAGGATATTTTGGGGATATTTTGGGGATATTTTGGGGACATTTCGGGGATATTTTTAGGGATATTTTGGGGGATATTTTAGGGATATTTTTAGCATAATTTTAGGGATATTTTATGGATAATTTTTTGGGATATTTTAGGGATATTTTTGGGATAATTTTTGGGATAATTTAGGATATTTTTAGGGATATTTTAGGGATATTTTTGGGATATTTTGGGGACATTTTGAAGATAATTTGGGGATATTTTAGGGAACATTTTAGGGATATTTTGGGAGTATTTTCGGGGATATTTTAGGGATATTTTGTGGATATTTTAAGGATATTTTGTGGATATTTTAGGGATACTTTGGGGATATTTTAGGAACATTTTGGGAACATTTTGGGGATATTTTGGGGATATTTTGCGGATATTTGGGGGATATTTTTGGGGATATTTTGGGATAATTTTTTGGGGATATTTTGGGAACATTTTGGGGATATTTTGGGATAATTTTTGGGGATATTTTGGGGGTATTTTTGGGGATATTTTGGGGTATTTTTGGGGGTATTTTTGGGGATATTTTTGGGATAATTTTTGGGGATATTTTGGGGATATTTTAAGGATATTTTGCGCATATTTTGGGGATATTTTAGGGATACTTTGGGGATATTTTAGGAACATTTTGGGAATATTTTTGGGGATATTTTGGGGTATTTTTGGGGATATTTTAGGGATATTTTTGGGATAATTTTAGAGATATTTTGGGGATATTTTGGGGTATTTTTGGGGATATTTTAGGGATAATTTAGGGATATTTTGGGGATATTTTTAAGGATATTTTATGGATATTTTAGGAACATTTTGGGATAATTTTTGGGGATATTTTGGGGTATTTTGGGGATATTATTGGGATAATTTTTGGGATATTTTGGGGTGTTCTGGCCTGGCTGAGCACTCACTCCACTTCATGTGTGATCTTGTTGACGTAGATGCAGCTGTTGTCGGCCTCCTGCTGGTAATCACAGTTCCTGCACTGGGACAGACTGGGATCAACTGGGATGGACTGGGATCAACTGGGATCAACTGGGAGGGACTGGGAGGGACTGGGATCAACTGGGAGGGACTGGGAGGGACTGGGAGAGGGACTGGGAGGGGACTGGGATCAACTGGGAGGGACTGGGATGGACTGGGGGGGACTGGGATCAACTGGGAGGGACTGGGATCAACTGGGAGGGACTGGGAGAGGGGACTGGGACAAACTGGGAGGGACTGGGGGGGAGCTGGGACAAACTGGGAGGGACTGGGGGGGAGCTGGGACAAACTGGGAGGGACTGGGGGGGAGCTGGGACAAACTGGGAGGGACTGGGATCAACTGGGAGGGACTGGGAGGGGATTGGGAGGGACTGGGAGGGACTGGGAGGGACTGGGGGGGACTGGGAGGGACTGGGATCAACTGGGAGGGACTGGGGGGGACTGGGAGGGGCTGGGAGGGACTGGGAGGGGCTGGGAGGGACTGGGATCAACTGGGAGGGACTGGGAGTGACTGGGATGAACTGGGCGGGCTCAGGGCCCAGTCCCAGTCCCAAACTGGTCCCAGTTTGGGCACTCACAGCGTAGAGCAGGATCCGGTTCTCCTTGTCCTCCTTGGGGTACAGCATGTTGTTACTGGGCAAACTGGGATTACTGGGAGCTCCGGGGGCAAATTCCCAAGTTTCCACCACAAAAATTCCCAATTTTTCCCCTCAAAATTCCCAATTTTTCACCTCAAAATTCCCAATTTTCCACCACAAAATTCCCAATTTTCCACCACAAAATTCCCAATTTTTCACTACAAAATTCCCATTTCCCCACCACAAAATTCCCCCTTTTTTTACCATAAAATTCCCAATTTACCACCTCAAAATTCCCAATTTTTCCCCTCAAAATTCCAAATGTTCCACCATAAAATTCCCAATTTTCTACCACAAAATCCCCAATTTTTCCCTTTCAAAATTCCAAATTTTCCACCACAAAATTCCCAATTTTCCCCCTCAAAATTCCAAATTTTCTACCACAAAATTCCCCCTTTTTTACCATAAAATTCCCAATTTTCCACCACAAAATTCCCAATTTTCCACCTCAAAATTCCCCCTTTTTTTACCTTAAAATTCCCTTTTTTTACCACAAAATTCCCTTTTTTTACCACAAAATTCCCCCCTTTTTTACCTCAAAATTCCCTATTTACCACCACAAAATTCCCTCTTTTTTTACCATAAATTCCCTTTTTTTTACCTCAAAATTCCAAATTTTCTACCACAAAATTCCCAATTTTCCACTCAAACCTCCTCAATTTTTCACCTAAAAATTCCCATTTTTTCCCTCACAATTCTCGTTTTTCCCCTCACAATTCCCGATATTTTCCCCCTCACGATTTCCAATTTCTCCCCCTCACAATTCCCAATTTTTCCCCTCAAAATTCCCAATTTTCCCCCTCACAATTCCCTGAAACTTTTCCCCTCAAAATTCCCTGTATTTTTCCCTCACAACTCCCGGTTTTTTTCCCCTCACAACTCCCAGTATTTTTCCCCTCACAATTCCCAATTTTTCCTCTCACAATTCCCGTCTTTTCCCCTCATAATTCCCGATATTTTTCCCCCTCACAATTCCCGATGTTTTCCCCTCACAATTTCCAATTTCTCCCCCTCACAATTCCCAATTTTTCCCCTCACAACTCCCGATATTTTTTCCCCTCACAATTCCCGATTTTCCCCCAAAAAAATCCTGATACTTTTCCCTCACTATTCCCTGTATTTTTTTCCCTCACCACTCCCTGTATTTTCGCCCTCACAATTCCCGACGTTTTCCCCCTCACGATTTCCCGATATTTTTCCCCTCACAATTCCCGTCTTTTCCCCTCAAAATTCCCAGTATTTTTCCCTCACAACTCCCAGTTTTCCCCCTCACAATTCCCGGGGTTTCCCCTCACAATTCCCAATTTTTTTCCCTCAAAATCCTCAATTTCCCCCTCACAATTCCTTGCATTTTTCCCTCACAATTCCCGTCTTTTCCCCTCACGATTCCCGATATTTTTCCCCCTCACAATTTCCAATTTCTCCCCCTCACAATTCCCAATTTTTCCCCTCAAAATTCCCCGTGTTTCCCCCTCATAATTCCCAATTTTTCCCCTCATAATTCCCAATTTTTCCCCTCACAATTCCCAATTTTTCCCCTCACAATTCCCAATTTTCCCCCCAAAAATCCTGATACTTTCCCCTCAAAATTCCCAATATCTTTTCCCTCACCGCTCCCTGTATTTTCCCCCTCACAATTCCTCGTTTTCCCCTCACGATTCCCGCCATTCCCCGCTGCACCCCGCCTGTCCCCCCCGCCTCTCCCGGTGCATCCCCGGCGCATTCCCGCTGTTTTCCGCCCCACATTCCCGCTGTTTTCCCGCTGTTTTCCCGGGGTTTTCCCTCACCATTCCTGGCAGAACCGAATCCCCACGAAGCCCGGCTCGTACGCGCCGTCCCCATCCATGGCTGCGCGGACACGCCCCTTTCCACTTCCTCCCTCATCCCATTGGTCAAACCGCCCATCAATCATGCCCTTCCCAGCTTTTCATTGGTCACTACTCCCTTAGACCCTCATATGCTTTATTTCTATTGGTCAATCCTATGTACCCCGCCCATTCTTTATTTTATTGGTCCTTTTACTCTTAGACATGCCCTGCTCGTCTTTTTATTGGCTGAGCTTCTATTTTTTCCCCACCCTCTCTCTCTTCCTATTGGTCAGCCCTCATTTATCCCGCCCTTTATGCGTCTATTGGGTAATTTTCTCTTAGTCCCGCCTTTCCTCGATAGCTATTGGTCGGTTTGCATCATGTGACCTCATTCGCCGGCTCTGATTGGCCGCTCCCTCACCGGTCCCGGCTGTGGCGGCCCGTGAAGGTTCCAGAAGCGGATCCGGTTCGGGCGGGCCCGGAACCGTTCGGGGCTCCCGGTTCGGGAGAGCCGGAGGCTCCCGGAGGCTCCCGGAGGGGCTCGGGGAGCTGCCGGAGGAGCTCGGGGAGCTGCCGGAGGAGCCTGGGCGTGTCCGGGACTCCCGGTTCGGTTCCGGTGGGGGCGGTACCGGCAGGGCCCGGTCGGTACCGGAGCCATGAACGGCAGCGGGACCGGGCCGGGCCCGGTGTGGCTGGCGGTGAGCAGCTCCCTGAACGCTTTCCGTGCCTGTAAACGCTTCTCGCCTGCGCTCACCATCGCCGAGCTCAAGGTACCGGAGCGGCACCGGGATAAGGGAGAATGGATAACGGGATAACGGGATAAAGGGAATGGGACCGGGAGAACGGGAATTGGACGGGGAGAATGGGAATGGGACTGGGAGAATGGGAATGAGACCGGGAGAATGGGAATTTGACCGGGAGAATGGGAATTTGACCGGGAGAATGGGAATGGGACCGGGAGAATGGGGACGGGACAGTGGGAATGGGACTGGGACCAGGATAACGGGAATTGGACCGGGATAACGGGAATGGGACCGGGAGAACGGGAATGGGATCAGGAGAATGGGAATGGGACCGGCATAACGGGACTGGGATAATGGGAATGGGACCGGGATAATGGGAACGGGATAACGGGAATGGGACCGGGATAATGGGAATGGGACCGGGACCGGGATAACGGGAATTGGACGGGGATAATGGGAATGGGACTGGGGGAATGGGACTGGGATAATGGGAATGGGACAGTGGGAATGGGAGTGGGACCGGGATAATGGGAATGGGACCGGGATAACGGGAATGGGATTGGGATAACGGGAATGGGACCGGGAGAACGGGACAGTGGGATAATGGGAACAGGATAGTGGGAATGGGACTGGGATGGGGATAACGGGAACGGGACCGGGATAACGGGAACGGGACAATGGGAACAGCAGTGGGAGAATGGGAACCGGGAGAGGGGGAATGGGAACCAGGAACCCCCAAACTGGGACCCCACAAATCCCAAACTGGGAACCCCAAATCCCAAACTGGGACCCCACAAGCCCCGAACTGGGAACCCCAAACTGGGAACCCACAAGCCCCAAACTGGGACCCCACAAATCCCAAACTGGGAACCCCAAGCCCCAAAGTGGGACCCACAGTCCTGCATGGAGCTGGAGCTGTTTGGTGACAAGGACAAACCCTTGGGGACCCTGGACTGGGACACTCCCAGTGCCACTCCCAATGTCCCCAGTGTCCCCAGTGTCCCCTCCCAGTGTCCCCAATGTCCCCAGTGCCATCCCCAGTGTCCCCAGTGCCATTCCCAGTATCTTGAGTGCCATCTCCAGTGTCCCCAGTGTCCCCATTGTCCCCTCCCAGTGCAAACTGGAGCTGCTGGTGAGGTTCCAGTGCCACTCCTGGTGTCCCCAGTGCCACTCCCAGTGTCCCCAATGTCCCCAGTGCCATCCCCAATGTCCCCAGTGCCACTCCCAATGTCCCCAATGCCATCCCCAGTGTCCCCAGTATCTTGAGTGCCATCTCTAGTGTCCCCAATGTCCCCATTGTCCCCATTGTCCCTCCCAGTACAAACTGGAGCTGCTGGTGCTGTCCCCATGTCCTGCATGGAGCTGGAACCAAGGACAAACCCTTGGGGACCCTGGACTGGGACACTGCCAGTGCCACTCCTGGTGTCCCCAATGTCCCCAAAGTCCCTCCCAATGTCCCCAGTGTCCCCAATGTCCCCATTGTCCCCTCAGTGCAAGCTGGAGCTGGTTGTGGGCTCCCCGGCCTCGTGCATGGAGCTGGAACCAAGGACAAACCCTTGGGGACCCTGGACTGGGACACTGCCAGTGCCACTCCTGGTGTCCCCAATGTCCCCAATGTCCCTCCCAATGTCCCCAATGTCCCCATTGTCCCCTCAGTGCAAGCTGGAGCTGGTTGTGGGCTCCCCAGCCTCGTGCATGGAGCTGGAGCTGTTTGGAGCCGAGGATGAGCCCCTGGGGAGCCTGGACTGTGACGAGGCCCTGCTGGGCTCCTACCCCGTCAGCGACGGCTGCCGCCTGCACGTGGGTGTCACCTCTGGGTCACCTCTGTGGCACCTCTGTGTCACCTCCCCCCCTGTGTCACCTCTGTGTCACCTCTGTGTCACTGTGTCACCTCTGTGTCACCTCTGTGTCACCTCTGTGTCAGCTCCTGGGTCACTGTGTCACCTCTGTGTCACCTGCGGTGTCACCTCCTGTGTCACCTCCTGGGTTACTGTGTCACCTCTGTGTCACCTCCTGTGTCACCTCCTGTGTCACTGGCTCCCCTCTGTGTCACCTCTGTGTCACCGGGTCCCCTCTGTGTCACCTCTGTGTCACCGGGTCACCTCTGGGTCACCTCTGTGTCACCTCCTGTGTCACCTCTGTGTCACCTCTGTGTCACTGTGTCACCTCTGGGTCACCGGGTCCCCTCTGTGTCACCTGCGGTGTCACCTCCCTCCCTGTGTCACCTGCGGTGTCACCTCCTGTGTCACTGTGTCACCTCCTGTGTCACTGTGTCACCTCTGGTGTCACCTCCTGTGTCACCTCCTGTGTCACCGGGTCCCCTCCTGTGTCACCTCCTGTGTCACCTCCCTCCCTGTGTCACCTCCTGTGTCACCTCCTGTGTCACCGGGTCCCCTCTGTGTCACCTCCTGTGTCACCTCTGTGTCACCTCTGTGTCACCGGGTCCCCTCTGTGTCACCTGCGGTGTCACCTCTGTGTCACCTCTGTGTCACTGTGTCACCTCTGTGTCACCTCCTGTGTCACTGGGTCACCTCTGTGTCACCTCTGTGTCACCTCTGTGTCACTGTGTTCCCTCCTGTGTCACCATGTCCCTCCTGTGTCACTGTGTCACCTCCTGTGTCACCGGGTCCCCTCTGTGTCACCTCCCTCACTGTGTCACTGGGTCCCCTCCTGTGTCACTGGCTCCCCTCTGTGTCCCCTCCTGTGTCACCGGCTCCCCTCCTGTGTCACCTGCGGTGTCACCTCCTGTGTCACCTCTGTGTCACCTCCTGGGTCACCGGGTCCCCTCTGTGTCACCTCTGTGTCACTGTGTCACCTCTGTGTCACCTCCTGGGTCACCGGGTCACCTCTGTGTCACCTCTGTGTCCCCTCCTGTGTCCCCTCCTGTGTCCCCTCCTGTGTCACCTCCTGTGTCACTGTGTCACCGGGTCCCCTCTGTGTCACCTCCTGTGTCACCTCCTGTGTCACCGGGTCCCCTCTGTGTCACCTCCGGTGTCCCCTCCTGTGTCACTGGGTCCCCTCCGTGTCACCTCCTGTGTCACCTCCTGTGTCACCTCCTGTGTCACCGGGTCCCTCCTGTGTCACCTCCTGTGTCACCTCCTGTGTCCCCGTGTCCCCTCCTGTGTCACCTCTCGGTGTCACCTGGGTGGGGGTGGCATTGCTGAGGGACGGTGGCAGCTTTCTGACGGACGGTGGCACCGTGGTGAGGGACAGTGACACCATGGTGAAGGGACAGTGCCACCCCCTGCAGGTGACAGTGCCACCCCTTTGAGTGACAGTGACAGTGCCACCCCTGCAGGTGACAGTGCCACCCCATGGGTGACAGTGACAGTGCCACCCCTGCAGGTGACAGTGACACCCATGGGTGACAGTGACAGTGCCACCCCTGCAGGTGACAGTGACACCCCTGCAGGTGACAGTGCCACCCCCGTGTGACAGTGCCACCCCCTGCAGGTGACAGTGACACCCATGGGTGACAGTGCCACCCCACGGGTGACAGTGACAGTGCCACCCCTGCAGGTGACAGTGCCACCCCATGGGTGACAGTGACAGTGCCACCCCTGCAGGTGACAGTGCCACCCCTGCAGGTGACAGTGACACCCATGGGTGACAGTGCCACCCCCGTGTGACAGTGCCACCCCTGCAGGTGACAGACCGGAGCGGGGCCCGGGCCGGGCAGTTCGAGGACCTGTCCCAGGTGGCCAAGTACGAGATGGCCGAGAGCGACTACGACAAGAGGACAGGTGGCCCTGGGGACACTGGGGACAATGGGGACAATGGGGACATTGGGGACATCGGGGACACTGGGGACACTGGGGACACTGGAATGGTTGGGGACAGTGGGGACACTGGGGACAATGGGGACATTGGGGACATCGGGGACACTGGGGACACTGGAATGCTTGGGGACATTGGGGACAATGGGGACATTTGGGACATTGAGGGTGTTGGGGACGTTGGGGTCATTGGGGTTTGGGGACATTGGGGGGACATTGGGGACACTGGGGACACTGGGGACGTTGAGGACAATGGGGACACTGGGGACAATGGGGACACTGGGGACATTGAGGGATTGGGGACATTGGAGGTGTTGGGAACTTTGGGGACGTTGGGGATGTTGGGGACATTGGAGGTGTTGGGAACTTTGGGGACATTGGAGGTCTTGGGAACAATGAGGACATCAAGGGACATTGAGGGTTTGGGGACATTGGGGACATTGGGGGGTGTTGGGGACATTGGGGGGACATTGGGGACGTTGAGGACAATGGGGACATTGGAGATGTCTGGGGACACTGGGGACA